TGAAAATTTGAGAGAATGGTTTTAAAGTCTTTAATGAATACGATAAGATTTGAGACACTCAGCTTAATGCCTCTTAGTTTCTTGGGGCAATCCATAAAGAATTCCTAGAAGATTTCAATCTCATTGATAAGAGTAGATAAATAGTTCTTTGAAAATGAAATGTAGTTCACTCTACTGAAAGGATTATAAAATATTTTCAATGAATATCTAAAAAATATTATATGTTAAATGGTCCTAATGATGTTAACCTCAGGCATACATTTATTGCTTCTTTGCAAGAAGAACTCCAGCCACTATATAGAGTAATCAATGCATTATGAAGAGATATGTCACAAATCTCTCTCAAAGAAATCAATCAGTTAGCTCTGTCTACACTAAATAAGCTCTGTGAACAGCATTCTTTGAAGTCAATGCTTAAAGTAAAGCTAAAGTTACAATTTGCCTATAAAAAGCCTTATTTGAAGATCAAATGTAAAGAACATGATCTTTGTTCTTATAAGAAGACTCATTTTCATAAATACAGGCATAAGATCTTCAAACCAAAAAGGCATTGTCTTTAAGGTTCATTATGAAAGAATAATTGTGTACTATAATAATTCTTCTATCATACATTTTATTACATTTATTTGCTATTGTAGACTAAAACACAGAGCTATAAGAGTTCAAGGCCAGAATCGATTGTCAAATCATTGGAATAATTTCTAAAAGTCTCAACTCCTCCTCCGGCTGAAATGTCTAGTGGCAATAACCAAATAACAAAAAATAAAAATCATACGATTGTTTATATATTTCAATTAAAATGAGTAATGTTGATCCTAGTGGGCTAATTAAAATGTTCACTCTACTCTTGTAGTCGTGCTTATTACGCCTACATGTTATTATGCATATACTTAAGCAAAAAAATGTATAATTTACTAGTTAGAATGACAGTAAAGTTTCAAATAAGAAATTAATGACAGTCAGATCTTGATAATTTTTTTTGTTTGAAAAATAAGTTATACATAACTATAGACAATTGTAAATAAGAATATTGATTATGAATTGAGAATTACATTTAAAATTTAAATATTTTATTTGTAAAAGTAATTGAAATCATTAAATTTATAATTATTTGAATTAATATTCACAGCTTATTTTTTGAGAAAATTTTGGCACAACCTAACTGTTATTAATTTCTTTTTTAGAATTTCACTGTCATTTTTGGCCAAAAAATGGAATTTAACTGGCATTCTCCGTAATTTATTTATTGTCGAAGTGCAGGCAGCAAACATGAGACAAAAAAAGTGAAGAGGAAAGACCTTCCAAAAATCCAAACAATAGTGTAATAGTCACTCGAGACTCTATATCTATAATCCACTCTATTCTATTCTATTCTATTATATTAAAAATGAAGAAGAAAAAACCTAAGCATACAATTAGGTTTAAGGGAGAATGACGAGTAAGGACCTTCTAAGAATATTAATCCCAATTACGGATTGTGAAATTTAAAATTTCAATTAAGGATCATGATCCTTAATTGTGATAAAAAAAAATGTAGTTTGTGAGGTGTAATTCACTAACACGACTTGAGAATTCACTAACCCAACTTAGTAAAATTACTAACGTATATTGTAAAAATATGAAACTCTACTTGAAAATGGAATGTTTAATGAAAAACACTACTTGAGAATTCCTTAACTAGACTTGAAGAAATTTCTAACGTATATTGTGAAAATATAAAACCCTACTTGAGAATCATTTAAAAAAAGTGATTTGTCCAAATTGATGTTTTTTATTAAACAATCGATTCCTAAGTGGAGTTTCATGTTTTCACAATATACGTTAGAAATTTTTTTAAGTTGAGTTAGTAAATTTTCAAGTGGCGCTTTTTGTTAAACAATTGATTTTTAAGTAAGGTTTCATGTTTTTACAATATATGTTACAAATTTTCTCATATTGAGTTAGTGAATTCCCAAGTGGTAATAATGAATTCCACCTCACAAATTACATTTTTTTTTATCACAATTAAGGATCATGGTCCTCAACTGAGATTTCAAAATTTCATGGTTTGTAATTGGTATTAATGTTCTTAAAAGGTACTTAATTGTCATTCTCCCTAGATTTAAATTCCCTCATTCTCCCACGTTCGCGTTTATGCAATGTCAAAGTGTTTTTTAATTAAAAAAAATACTTATATACTTACATGCATGCATATATATATATATATATATATATAACTTTTTAAAAAAATTAGAATTTTTTACCATTTTTAGAAATTTGAGAGGAAAAGAAAGCATATTTCTTATTCTCTTAAAACATTACTCTAATTAGCTACTAAAAGTAATAAGATGGGTTAAATAATCAAATAATAATTCATTTCTTAGAATCTACACACATAAAGTATCATCAAACCTTACATCAAAATAATATATTACTTCTTAATACTGTAATTAAATATAAAATAATCTTTAGTAGTATACCATTATAGGGTGCATAATTCGATTAGAGTTCAAATTGTGCATTATAGATTGAAGAATTAATCATGTTAATTTTTAGTATTATACCAGTAATATACATTGAATTATTTATATAATTTTATCACATATTTTTCAAACAGTTTTTGCATAATATAATTGTATATCAAAAAATACAAATCATAAAATCAATATCTTTTTTAGTAATAATATATTCAAAATTGCTTTTATATTTTTTATGAAAATTTTTTATTACATATTAATTCAATTAACTTTCAATCTATCAAACTGACTTATGAACCTAAACATAAATTTTCTCATAATAATTAGCTTTTATTAAATTGATTTTTTCTAAATAAATTTTTAATAAACTAATTTTTTTACTAACGGAACACTAAATGAGACTCAATGTCTTTGAAGTCTCTTGATTTTCCGTAATTGTATTGTATCTCCCCGTCCAGCATGAAGAATTATATACTACTCTAATTTTTAATATAAGAAAAATTATCATGTTTCTCTTGTTTTTATTTATAAGCAAAATTACAAATTTTAAGAACCATTTATCACATTTTTTTTCAAATTATCCCTCATAAAGTCAATATTTATTTTCACTAGAAATTTTTTTATTAATTATAGGAATAATTAGTTTTTTTTTTATTTTTAACATAATTATTACACATACCTAATATATTTAGAAATGAAGGGAGTAATAATTAAAAAAATATAAAAGGAGTTAATCAAAGTATGGAACTATACCATTTCAAAACATCAACGCTAGAAAACAAGACAGGATAGTCATCATAAATCGTAAATAGAAAAACAAAAACAAAGAATTAAATATTGAGTTGAGTGCTATACCGAAACGCTCAGAGCCTTCAGACATGACTTAATTTCTGTCACTGTTGTGCGGTTATGTCGTAGACTTAAATTCCAAAAAAGGAAAAAAAAAAAAAAAAAAAACTCCTGAAACCTTGTGACTTGTTCGATGACAACTGCAGCCTGGTTGAGGGTCGTTGGCAACAGCTAGAGCCCTAATTCACTGTCCAATGGAAGAAATAAGAAATAAAAAAACAAAACTAATCAAATAAATTGGGAAATTAGAAAATTAGAGCAAAGGATAATGTAGAAACCAACTCCAAGACAGGAGAAAGCATGTGATAAAAAAAGAGCATATATTTTTCAAACACTATTAATAAAAAAATATTTAGGAACTTATTTGCCTTCTCATTCACTGTCCTTAAATTTAAAAAAGTATACGATACTTATGAACCATTAAATTTGACCAACTCTCACATCAGTGGCAGAATCAGGATTCGAAACCAGGAGATGCGGGATAATTTAATAAAAAATAATATTTTTTAAAAAACAATAATTATATTGTAGGATTAAAATTATAGTAACATAAATAGATTGATTATCATTTTTCTTCTTAAAAATTATAATGTCCAAACTGATAAGATCTTTTATATAAATATATTCTTCGTATCTTATATAAATTATTAAATTATTTTATATCTAATAAATTTTTAAGTTTGAATATTTTTTATTTAATTTAAAAGGGACAAAGGATAAAAAATAAGAGGTGCAAAGTTACAAAATTTTTATATCATGCTTATAATATTTCTCAAAGTGAGGGGTGCATTCCCCCTCCCCCCACCATGAGGCTCGGCCACTGGTTCACATGCTGCACCTTCACTTTTATTGACTTAAAAAAGATACTTTTTGTTTTTAATCTTATTATTTAAAATTATAAAAGAAAAGAGAACGAAGAAGAGAATGAGATGTGCTGTCATTACTTTGATGAGCTATTTGAAATGGACTTTGACTCATCACCACAAAAGAAACCAACGGTCACTCAAAAGAAAGAACAAAAACAAAAGAAGCCAACGTCAAATTGAACACCATGCTGTAGGGAAAAAATTATTTACCAAAATATTACATATTGAAAAATATTTATCATGATAATATAAATTGAAATTGAGTTTGATTGCTATCAAGTTTAAATTTTTTTGCTCTTAATATGACGAGTGTCGGTCAGTATGAAACCAACTCTTATTAATTGGGAAAAAGAAAAAGAAAAAGAAAAAGATATGTCAGATGTAGGAGATAGCTATCGCGAGTTTTATAATTATACTGGTCAAGCAGAAAGAAAAAATTTAATAAAAAATATTTAATACTGTCATGATAAATATTTTGTAAATATTTTTTATGCTGGTCACGCAGAAAGAAAAAATTTAAAGTTGATGTCAGTCAAACTCATCTGCAATCAATAATGTCATGACAAATATTTTTTAATATGTAATATTTTTTTTAGTACGACGGTCAATTTGCCGCAGCCAACACTGAGTATTAAAAAAGAAAAAAAGAAAAAGCGAATAACACATTACGCATGGTCGGATCAGCTTTCTTCTTCTTGGTTGCTCTCTATGTTCTGAAAGATAAGAATATGAATATGCTGCACAAGTTGAAACACAAATTGAATTTTGTAAATACAGATCAATGATAAACGCAAACTATTTTGCCACAAATCTAAAAATATTTTCAGCTTACAGTAGCCAACGAGAAACTTTGAAGTTTCAAGTTATGTAAACCTCAGATCTCCCAGCAACAGTTAGCTTTCCTTGGACTTCCAACATAGATCAAGCATGAGACACCACCCTTCTCATGGTGTTTTTAACAACTTTAAAAAACAAATGCTTCACACAGATCAAAGACAACCATGAAATCTGAAGGTTTTCGTAGAAAGATGATGAACTTGTGAAATCAAACAAGAAACGAACAACAACAAATCAAAACAAGAACATACAGGAAAGAAGTCCAACTATCACAGAAAATGAAAGCACAGAGGATAACTAGACTTTTCTTTTGTTTTTTTTTTTGGAGATATGAGCAGTAACAAATTGAAAGAGCAGTTTTTTTTTTGTGGAAATTTGTAGGATTTTCTTCTTCAGGAAATATCACAAAAACTAGCAAAATGAAGTTAAAAATGATCAGGAGGGAAGCAAAACAAAGGAAAGTGCGGAAACGACGTTTGAGAAAAAGTTGAGAAATTAAACAGAAAAATCAATTCGCAGAGGTCCCAGCGAAAGTTGGAAAAAGCAGTAATTTTTTTCTTTTTCGGGCAGAGCAGAGGGAAAGGAAACAGAAAATTAGAATATGCGAATAACACAAAGGAAGTTGCAGAAATGAAGCAAAAGAAGAAGCTGGGAAAGCAACGAAAGAAGATTTGTGAGACTGTGGAAGAAGCAGCAGAAGATCTGAAGCTTTGGGAAGAGTGGACTGCAAATTGGGAAGTTTCTGGTTCATATAGGAGACATTGTTTACTTTACATGGGAATAAAAGGACATCTTGGTCTCTAGGTAAGGGTGATAATCTCATTTTACTCCATTGATTCATTTTTATAAGCCTATCAACTTTATTTAAATTCACAAATCAAAATGTCCTCTTTCATTTTGCGCTATATTAATCTATAATTAATTATGGGTTAAATGACAAAAATATTTTAAAACTTTTTCACAAAACGGCATACTATGTTATCCTAACCTTTTTCAACAACATCAACTGAAACTTTTAAAAAAGAGTTGGCCAAAAGAAAAAAAAAACAAAGAAACTTTTAAAAAAGAGTTCAATAATATACCACCAATAATACAAAACGTTTTACTGTAAAAATATTTGACTGTTAACTCTCTTATTTGACCTAAAATTTTACGTGTCACTCTTTCTCGTCATTTCTCTCCCTCGTCTGCTCTCTTAGTTCTCGAATTCATTCATCTTCATTTCTCTCCCTTGTTTGCTCCCCCACGAGCCCCACCGTGCACCATCTTCAGGTCTGCCACTTATCTCGCCGCTGTGAGTAGTTTTCAAGGTAAGCTTCTATATTTTTATGGGTTAAAAGGAAAATCCGTATATAAAGTAGTCATCTAAAGCATTCATTACTATAAAGTGAAGATAGATGTAAAAGTATCTCAAATGTTAAATTAATAAGTGCAATTATATCATGTACGCTTGAGTTGGTGAATATTGATTGTGAAGTGTACACATAAGCCAACTGTTGAAATTTAAGCCAACTGTTGAAATTTTTACACGTGTTCGTGGAGCTCGTCGTCTTTCCTATTTTTTTATTTTGGCCAACGTTTTCTTCCATATTAAAAAAACAAAATGTAGACATTGACATCCCTCTTCCTCTCGAAAGTAAAAAGGAGCTTGAGAGGAAGACATAAGTGGACCAGCACCTATTTAAGATTTCAACCAAATGCTGCCATGTTCATGAAAAAAGCCAGCTCAGCCCTGTCATTGTAGCTATGCAGCCCCAATACTACGGGAGCCACCGTACTAAGATTTGAATTCTTATCCATTCATCATCGAACACGATTCTATTGGTTGTTCGATAGGAGGACACTGGAGGTAATGCAAAAATCAGACCTCAACGGTCACATGGCTTTTTTATTATTTCTTTAAGTTATTGCTTACTGCCATTGTCCTCCTCTGGTCTTCCCTTATGTTAATGTTTCGCAGAAGGAAAAAATAGGGGAGGGAGAATAGTGCGTTAAAAGTGAGAAAAAAATAAAAAAAATATATATATATATATACTCACTTGACTACAAAAAAAAAGTAGAGAAAAGAAAAAAGTAAGAGAAAAATAACACATGAAACTTACACGTTTTTTCATCCAACTTTTCTTCCCAAAATATAAAAGATTTTAGAAAAAAAAAATTTATTTTTAAATTACCTATCAATTTTTTCATTACCATCTCTTGCTTTTCTTTATTTTTATCATGATATTTATAGTATACTTACATTTTAATCATAGACTTTTAATTTTTAGACTAATTAAAAAAATGTTAATTCTAAATTTTTAAGTTAATTTTTAGTTAAGTACTTTATATTTGATTTGATTGTAGTTTTAAATTTTAAATTATTATATTTTTAATAATTTAATAAATAAAATTTTATATTAGATAAAATAATTTTGAGTATTAGATAGAGTAAATTTTAATAATGTTTTTATTCAAAATATATGATAAAAATATGTTATATATAATATGTTAAAATATTAAATTTTATTGTATAAATATTTTTATAAATAATAAGGTTATTCTTGTCTATATACAATTAGAAATTTTTCCTTCTTTTTAATTTTCTCTCGCTCAGCCAAGTACAATGAAAAAAAATTACATCTCTTTTATTTTCTTTTCTCTTTATTTTCTCCCCTCCTATTTTCCTCATTTCTATTTTTTTTTCTGCGAGCAAGCACATAATTAGTACTTGTTTAGTTTTTTTTTTAACTAAGAGTCACTCCTTGTTTTATTTAAAAGCAATGACAGATGATTTTTTATTTAATTTATAAGTTATATTATTAAATTTTATTATAAATTTTTTATTTCATTAAATTTTTATTACAAATTTTTTATTTTACATTTCATTAAATGTTAAAAAATATCTTATTAAAATATATATATTTAATAGATAAAAAATTAAGAACTTATTAAATTTTTAAAAAGAGTTAATAAATTTTTAAATTTTTTGATAAAACATGTTAAAAATGATTTATAAATAAAATCAGAAAATATTTTATTGAAAAAAATAATTTAAAAAAATTAAAATTAATTGATGTAAAAATTTTTATAAGAACAGATGTATCTGATTCTGGAACCATCAATAAAATGTTTTTTTCTTTTTGAATTTAGTCAAAGTATATAAGAAAAGGTAAAAAGTAAACCAAACAACCCACTGTGAGAAATCAGGTGGGAAAGTCAAAACAATAAAGCATGAAAGAGAAAACGAAAGGGGAATGATAAAGAAATCTTACAAGAATTAATTAATTAAAATTAAATTTTAAGTATTAAATTTGAGAAATTTAAAATTTAATTCCTTAATTTTATGATTATGTTGTGATAAATTTATAATTTATATTTTAAATTTTAATAAAAAATAATTTTTATTTATAAAGCACATTAAATTTAAGAAATAAGTTACAAATTCATCACAACACAGTTATAAAATTAAGAGATAGATTGTAAATTTTTAAAATTTAACATTTAAGAACTAATTTAAATTAATAAATTCTTTTGAGACCTCTCTCTCATCCACCTGAAAATGAAAAAGACAACGGATCATCAAAGAATAGTTAGTATAGGTTTGTTGGGCAATTTGTTTTATTGGAGAAAGGCATTAAACATTTAAAAAATATCATTGAAGATATTTAATATTAGTCAAGAATAAAAAATTAATTTAAAAATAATTTTATATAAAAACCTATAATACTCCTACCTTATTGTTTTTAAATTGACAAGTAATTATTCCTAAATTAACAAGTACCTATTCATATTAATAAAAAGTCATTTATTAATTGATAAATTTAAAAATTTAAAAGAACTTAATTATGAAAAGAGATAAGTGTAGATTATATTTTAACAAGTAACAATTCATTAATTAACAAGTACTTATTTTCATTTGACAAAAGTCATTTGTTATTTGATAAGTTCAATATGAAAAAATTTGATTGTGAGAAGGAATAAATATATATTATATTTTAATAAGTTATCATTAGTCAATTAACAAGTACTTATTCACATTTAATAAGGAGTCATTTGTTAATTGATAAGTTCAAAAATGTGAAAAAACTTGATTGTAAAAAAAAACATAAATATAAATCATATTTTAACATATAGTTATTCATTAATTAATAAATATTTATTTTTATTAAACAAGAAATCATTCGCTTGTTGACTAGTTTTAAAAAACAAAAACAAAGCAAAAGTATTATAATTTTTTATCTAAAATTATTTTTAAATTAATCTCATGATCTTATAATTATATTTCAAAATTTTTTGTACTGATTTAATATTAAATTGTCTCTGTGGTTCTTAAATGATATTCTCCCTCAAACCTTTGAGGTTTGTGCTGATTTTTTTTTTTTTTAAGTCTGTGCTGATTATATTTATACTAGTGCATGGTAATCATAGATGACCATGATTAAAAAAATAATATTGAATAAAATAAAATAATTTAAACTGTAGAACATTTACTTCAACAGTTGACAACTACAATTAAATACTTCCCACCATTCTATCTACAAAATTCTTCAAACATGTTTTAATAGAACTATAATATATTTTTTTAAAATTACATAAAACAGTATTGTTAAAAAAAAAAACAATACAATGCATATGAACCGATACCTACTTTCGTCTTTTACGTTGAGCTTTTTTTCCCCCTTATCTTTTTTGTCAAATGGCAAAAGATAGTTACTTTTATTTACTTAAATTTTTTTATCTTTTTGGTCAAATGCCAAAAATTTTTGTGCATAGCCTGTGGGTACGTTCCCGTAATAAGAATCTGGACATTGACATCCCTCTCCCTCTTAAATATAAAAGGGGTCTTGAGGGGAAGATGTTGTATAAGTGAGCCCTCACCTATTTAAGATTTCTAAATATTGAAAAGAGAAATATTATAGTGACTAAATAATTTTGAATTCACTCATTACGAGCAAAGGATTAAAATATAATTAAATTTTAATATAAAAAGATAAAACATCTTCCCATTATCACCGACTAACAAAGCTCCAACACCGATGGTTAGACTACTCGCCAAAGCTCCTTAAGGTGGTAAAAGAGGTTTGAACCTACATCCCCTTGGTCATTAAAAGGATCAGGCTAATAATTAATTTTAATTATATAATGCAAATATATATATATATATATTAACTTTGGTTTCACTTTCATATCAATATTTATCAGGAGCTTTATAGCTACTTGTTATTTTACAAATAGTTACTTGCTAAGTTACTAATATAATAGGACTTATTAAAAAAATTTAATATGCACTAATTTTTATAAATGTTTACTTATTTTTATTACTAGTAATGACAAGTCTTTATTAATAATTTAACAAATAATAATTTATAAAATAACAAGTCCGTTACTAGTTTTAAAAAAATATCACTCCTCTAAATAAATACTAACAAGCGTCAAATATTTACTTGATATATTGATACTTGACGGTTATTGTAAAATAATTGTCAAGTATTTATGGCATTTTTTTTAAAACATAAAGATATAAATACATACAAAAAAAAAACAGCCAGCTAGCAACAAAAAAAATACAATATAATGAATGTTTATAATAGTATCTACTATCTAATTAACATTAAAATTCCTATACCTTTAGCCTTAAAATCTAAAAAATCTATACTCAACTTATTTACAAACTAAAGTTCTAAAACTAAGTGGCTTATCCTATAAAAATTGGCCTAAAAAATGTGTATATATATGTAACTAAC